CTAACTGTTTAAGGAACGCAGCGGATCCATATGCAGCTGCCTCGGCCCCTCCTCCACGATCCCGCACAGCTCCGCCCCCTCCACACCTCCTCACTGTGGGCCGCCCCCGCCCCCCCCCCCGCCCCCGCCCCCACCATAGCTCCGCCGCGGGCGTAGCCACACCCGCAAGCGGGAGCCGCAGAGAGGCCGTCAGCGTCGCGACCCCGCCTACTAGACAGGCCCCGCAGGCTCAGCTCCTCCCACTGCCCGGTCCCGCCCACACGGCCCCGCTTCTTTCCGGGCACCTCCCGAGGCTGGAGTGGATTGAAGGGTGGAGCTGCCAGGGATCGCTTTGATACCATTTCCCAGGGTGGAGCGGGAGTGGAGGAGGACAATCTGGACCGCTACGCTGATTCTGTACAGAAAGCACATGTAGAAGCCTCTGCCTGTTCATATCACTTCCCTTCTCCCACGGTCTCCCCTGAAAACTGATCAGCCAAGCCATTGTACCTTTAATCAGCATGGTGCAGTAACTCTGCGCTACAGAGTGCCATCAAGCCCACACGCGTGCATTCAAGTCGCCGCAGCAGAATTCCCTCCTTCTGGTTTCCCCCTCTTTGGCCAATGTGAGGCAACAGGTAGGCCGAGCCCAGGTAGTTTCTGGAGCCCGATGCCCGTTCAGTGCGTTTCTGCGCGATCCGGGCTCCCCAGGCTGAGACAGCGGCTGGGGCCAGGGCTGGGCGGTCCTGCCCGGACGGCGTAGGTCTAGAGTGCAGGGGCCCGAGCCGCCCCGCCTCCACCCCTCGCCGCGGCCCAGCTGTCCTTCATGCCGGCGACCCGGCCGGGGGCGGGCGGGGACACGGGCGCCCCTCCAGCCGGGCCTCCGCCACCGCCGCCGGTGCTCACTCGATCCGCACCTGCAGGCGGACGTTGAGCATCACCGAGGCCACGATGTAGAAGTAGGGGAAGTTCATGCGCAGCCGCCAGGCCAGGTCGAAGAAGGTGAGCAGCGTGCGCGTGAGCCCCTTGCAGAAGGCGCCGTAGGAGCCTCGGGCCGCCGCTGAGCGCGACAGCCGCACCGCCAGGCCAGACAGGGCGGCCGCCGCCGCTGCCGCAGACAGAGCCGCCGACGCCGCCATGGGCCCGGGCCCCGCGCAGGCCCCGCCGACCGACTGACCCGCACGAGCGCTAGCCTCAGGGCGCCGGGAGGGGACGGTAGGAATGCGTCTCTCCCACTCTTCCCTGTCTCCAAATACAGAGCTTGCGGGGTGCCCTCAGGTAGGGGCAGGAGAACACGAGGGACAGCAGGAGCAGGCAGAGACCAGTCCCCTGGCCCCAAAGACAGGGCAGGAGGCAGTTTTGCCAAGGGCTGTGCAGGAGCTGCAGAGAGTCCCAGGGCTGAGGGCTGAGAACAGACCAGACACAGGGCTCAGCCTAGAAGAGAACGGTCCTCCCTATGCCCACAGACTGGTGGGGAAGAGAAGGGTGGGGGCATCGTTGCTCCTCTAGGGCCTGCCCGGGGCCGCCCCCAGCCCATTACCTTCCATTCCTCAGGGTTCAGGGGACACCCTGGGGGCCTCTGTGGAAAGGGAGGCACGCACTGGGACGTGGGCGGGAGGGGTCCGCCCCTCACCCTATCCAGCAATCATGACTGGGGAGGAGGGGAGAGCCTGCGGCTGCTTTTCCTTTCCTCAGCTGCGCTCCACAGCTCTTTGGGCTGGTTTGCCCCGGTGCCTTCCATATTTATATTTCCCCCTGACCGCCAAGGCGCCCCGACCTCTGGAGGGCAGAGCCACCGCCCCTCCCCCATTCCAACCTGTCGCCTCCTACCTTTCTGCTCGGGGCCTGGAAAGTCAAGTCGCCGCAGCAATTCCCTCCTTCTGGTTTCCCCCTCTTTGGCCAATGTGAGGGAATGGGGGCCTGCAGGCCCAGGGGCACACGCAGTTCCTCCTCCTCCTATCTGCGTGTCAAGGGTAAACCCCCCCCCCGCGAAGCCTCAGTTTCCTCT